ATTGTTTAAACAATTTGCTGGCGGTTCTCATCTTATTTGTCCGACAGCTGCGCCAAAAGCCTCACCAGGCTATTAAATTAAAATATTCACAGTTTATTTTAATTAGGCGTAATTTGGAGAAACCACTATTGTTTAGTGGCTATTAAGTTCTTATAACTATCATATATATCATTACTTCTCATAGCTACTATTAAGTTGTTACGGTAGTGTATACAGCAGCAAAAAGCGCCTAAAAATCAAGACAGTCCAGTTGTACGCGCATGTATTCGTATGTATTCGTGCCATGTATTCATGAATACAGCAGCAAAAAGCACCTAAAATCAGGGCAATCCAGCTATACGCGCATGTACTCACATGTATTCGCGATGTTGTATTCATGAATACAATAGCAAAAATGGCCTAAAATCATGACAGTCCAGCTGTACGGGCATGCATTCACATGTATTCATGAATACAGTAACGACAATCACCTTAAAAATAGGTATGTTCAGCTGTCTAATAACGAAAATAATATCAATTAACGTGATACACTCCTAATATAACTCAACAAAATCAATTCTAACATACCTCATTATCAACCCAATTAATTAGAATGATATTTCAATTGTATATAACTTTTGTATTTAGTGTGTTTTAATTTTTTTTTTTACCGTTGCATTCATTAGATTCAATATTTGTATTTATTATATTCACTAATTTATATACAGTGTATTCAAATATATTTGTATGAACAATATTTTAGTTATTCCTAATACATGTTATTATTGATGTATTCAGTATATTTCATTGGTTGTATTCACTGTATTTCTATTTGTATTCAATGTATTTTACTGTATTTCACTGTATTTTAAAATTAAATGTATTCACTGTTTATATTTTGTTCTATTTTATTATTTGTATTCTGTATATTTCAATATTTATATCATGTATTCATGCATGAATACAGATGTATTCAGCTGTATTGAAAAAATACAAACCTTCAAAATACATAAATACAAGCAAAAAAATATATTTATTCAAAAATATAATGTATTTGAGTGAATTTATACATAAAATAATGTATTTGTATCATTGTATGTGACTATATAGCAAAGAAGAGAAGAAAGTTCGTCGGAGATGGCGTTTTCTGGCCAAGCAAAATATTGTATATATTGTATTAAAACTAAAAATGGATACGAACAAAAACCTTGACCCTCGAATCTTCTCCGGCGTAAAAAATATTTGCAGTATCCGTGTAGAGGAATCCATCTGGCGTAAAAGAAAGTTGCAGTGGCCCTCTTGTTTCAAAGTTGTTGAATAAGCCATTAAAGAGGAATTTTGAAGTTTTCTGCTGAAAATCTAACAATGGTGAAGATTTTAAAAAAAAAGTGAAGAGAAAAAGAAGAAGCTTGAACGGACCAAAAATCTCAAAACTTTAACACTTACCACGAATTTTTGGAGCAAAAATGTTGAAAGTGAGAGAGAGAATCGTGCTTCAAAAATCGCGAATACAATCTTGTTGTGACTATGAGAGAGAGAGAGATCGTGGAGAGAGAAAGAGAAGAAATATTTTGTTGTGACTTTGGGAGAGAATAAATGAAAGAAATAAATGGTACATATCGTATTTAATGCATTAATGGTAGTTTATACTATAAATACCTATTTTGCTATAAAAAATAAAAGATAGTTATAGAAAATAATATTTTAAAAGCATTTTGAGTTATAATAAATAGGGTGTAAACCTTTGCTATAAGAGGTAAAATTTTCTTTAATTAAACGGCGTTTCATTGGCCACTTGGTTGTCTCCGTGGAGGTACACGAGAAGGTCAACTCAGGGGCGGCCCGACGGATTTTGTGGCCTAAAGCCAAATTTTATGAGGGGAATTAACTTTTTTTTAAATTATTATTTTTTAATTTGATGTCCATTTTTTTAGTTTTTTTTTTTAGATGCGAAGTTATTAATAATTTTTTTTATAATCAATTTTTTTCTAATAATTCTTTCTCAATTGACAATATAGTTAATTTATTTAACCTCTCTTCAAATATTATTGAGCTTAGTTAAGATTTTATCAATTTTAATTTCTAAAAACTTATTTCTGCTGAAGCAACAGTAACAGGAGTTATTAACATTATTCTATAAGCAATATAGGCATTTGGAAAAGAATCAAATCTTTTTATTTGATTGAGTATATCAATTAATCTATTATTTACTAAAAGGGCAGCCGAGTGCACTAAGCTCCAGCTATGCGTGGGGTCCGGGGAAGGGCCGGACCACAAGGATCTATTGTATGCAACCTTAACCCGCATTTTTGCAAGAGGCTGTTTTCACGGCTCGAACCCGTGACCTCCTAGTCACATGGCATCAACTTTACCAGTTACGACAAGGCTCCCCTTCAAAACTATTATTTTCTAATTGTACTATTTTTCTTAACACTTTTAATTCAAAAAATAAATCTAAAGTATCAATATCGGATCGATTATTATGCTTTAAGGAACACTCAAGATTAAGGCAGTATTTTTTTTAAATTTTCATTATCTAGTGATCTCAGTTTTTACGCTAAATAGAAAACAAAAAATATTTTTATATGCTTCGAATTGTTCAAATCTATTTTAAAGTGAAAAAATAGTCTTGTCTACTATGTATAAATAGTAATTAACTCTGAAAGACTCTTCAAGAGATTTCAATATCAATATTCACGTCAAATTATTTTTTTCTATTTATCACACGTTACGTACAAAGTTCGGGTTTGATTTTTATTTCAGATGCAATTTTCTTGGCAGAAATCATACTAGTTGTAAATCCTTTTACCCCTTAAACTTTTATGACACAAGTTTTAAAAGTCTTTTTTTTTAAACTACGTGACGAGTCAAACAACATCATCTAAATTGAAACGTAGAGAATATATAATATAATAGGTGTAATAAAAAATGGGCCAAAAGCGATTGTTTTACCTGCTTTAGGGTAGGGCCGCCCCTAGTCAACTACATATATCTTGACTGGTTTGTTTAAATTAAAGTCAGTGTCAATTCTCAAAAATTAACACAAATAGCCGTCTAAAAATAGGCTGCCGATATATATATACCAGTTAGAAAAAATAAGCAGTGAATCTGATCGGTTATATAATTAATTACCCTATAAATTTTCAAGAGAAGAATTCAAAATTTACCTAAACCAAACTTTTGGAATTATAAACCTGCAATTAATTGTAGTAATAATCTAAAAGTTCCATTTTCAGGAAAACTAAATTTGTCTTTTAAACAGGTTAACATAATGAATGGAAGGGATAATTCACATTAAATAAAATATAATAATAAAATGATATAAAAGGAAAAGTACCGTAAACACACGTGCATGAGCTAAGCTCCTACCAAAAAAATTCAAGTCATGGATTTTCATCTAACCTCTGCCTAATAAATTCTCTAACCATTTATTTTTAAATATTTCCCAAACTTATCCTCTTACCTACATTCACAGCTTAGCCGTGAGAGGAGAGGTCCTACCAATTTATCCATGTCATACTGGTAATTGACATGTACGTGTAAGATATATCCCAAAGGATTTTTGCATTAACAACAGACCTTGTTATTTGTTGAATTATTATTAGCCGAAAGTCATCTGGTTGCTAAATATTTTTTGAGAGTATAAAATGTTCTTTTTTTTTCTACGTATAAAATGTTACTTCCATTATATCCTTGAAATTTCACTCTTGAAGTTTCGAATATTAAATAAACTGCCTTTAATTCGTCGAAACGACAAAACCTTTTAAATCAATTTAAACATTATTTAGAAACATAACTAACGTATATTTGAGGAATTGAATCCATAATTAGTTCCTTATGAATAAAAATCAATCTTTTCTTGTTTCTTTAGTTTTCTTTTCATTTTTGTTATCAAATGCCCCCACTTAATTAACCAATATCGATTTAATGAGATGATTTTCGAAATAATAAAAGTACATTTACATCAATGACCATATCAATTACTCGAACCTGCACTCCATATCAAACAATAGCAAAAATAAGGCACCATTGTACACAAATCCATAGTTCGATAAGATTATTGGTCTTAGCATCTCAACATTAACTATGGAGTATATACTAATGTCCTGTTAGCAATTCAATAATGTGCGGCAATAAATTTTCTATCCTACAGCAAAGAACGAATTTTATTTTGACCTAGGAAAGAAGTACAACCTCTGGCTCCAATTTTTCTCCAATTATTTTTATCTGTCATTTCAATAAAAAACAAATGGTCCCAATTGTTGTCACTTTAACAAAAAATAAAAAAGGCATTAATTACTATCTTCTTTCAATTCCACTCTTAAATTTTCAAAAAGGAGATACGAATAATTTAGTTAAATATCTCTTATTATTAATGCAAGTGAATAATTTTTTTTAAAGAGTATGTCAAAATCTTAAACGATAAATAAAAGGACACGAGGGAGCATCTCTTAAAAGTTTTACACACTCTTTAAGAAATTAAAGACATTTAATAACTTGATCAAAATAATATTCTAAACCATCATATATCCTTTTAGTTCAAGTTTAGTCAACACTCACCTAATTAGAACAAGGAATAGATTTGAAATTAATAATAAATGATTTCATATTTTTCTAAAAGATCAAATATATTAAAAACAAATTAATTTTAGATAACATTTTGAACGAGGAGCTGTATTCACTATTCAGTGATTCAACTAACTTAAAATGGAGAAGATCACCGTAATTAATTTTCTATGGACGCATTTATAATCTGTGTGCTGAAATAGGATACAATCATGAATTTGACTCGTTCACGTAGTGTAAGAATACATTATGAACTATTCCTACGAGAAAAAATGTTTAAACTGTCCAAATTAAAACAATATAAATTGTGAAAATCTAGTACTGACAAGATTCATTAAACCTCAAATTAAGAGTAAATTCAGATCTATTAAATCCATGCACATACACATACACATACACATACACAAACCTATAGATACACACAAACAAAGCCGTGAGTTGCAAGTAACAGATATAGAGAGAGAAAGAAAGCGCTGCCATTGTTTCAGCTTTTAGAGAGAGAAAGCTGGGACCACACTCAATGACGCCATATGACGAAAACCCAATCAAAAGTGTACTCACTACGTTTCAGATCAATCATTCAATCACTTCTCCCCAATTCCCTATAAATTCCTCTTCTTCTCCTTCCATTTTTCCTAATTCCTTTTCCCCCAAAATACAAATCCATTTCCATTTCCATTTATCTCAATGGCTGAAGAATTTCAAGAATATGAAGTGATTTTTCAGGAAAATGCAGGACGTGAAGAGGTTCGAGAATTAGCTGATGATGAAGAAGAGTATGACTTCCAAGTTCGTCGTAATAATAAGGTATCTAGAATAAAGAAACTGAAGCGGAATTCCAATTCCGTCCCTGTTAACATTCCCGACGGAAAATCATGGTTCAAGTATTTGGAGAAAAAGTCGGATTTTTTTGAAGATGAGTACAGAGATGACGAAGAAATGGTGCCGCCTCACGTGATAACTGGTCGGAGAATAGCCGGAAAAATGACGTCATTTTCCGTTTGTACTGGATATGGAAGGACTCTTAAGGGAAGAGATTTGAGTCAAGTAAGGAATTCAATTCTTAGGATGACTGGTTTTCTGGAAACGTAACTTTAGAGTTGAGTCTTTTCACATTAGAAGCACAGGAAATTAAAAGTCAACAAAAAAAATAAAAAGAGAAAAAAGATATTTTTCCTTCTTTTTTTTCTTTTGTACTTCCCATTTGTGGAATTCCAATTCCATTTCTCATCATTGTAATATTAGACAAACAAATATTGTATGAAATTCGAAAAGAATTCATCATTTCCTCAAAGAAAGAAAGGAAATGAAAGTTCAAATTTTGATTAATTCAATTTACTTCGAACGGAATTGTGTTTGGTGTGGAAAATAATTGATGTATGATGAATTGTGTAAATCCAGGTTGTTAGTTGTGAGTAGGTTTCTGTTAAGATACTGTTGTTGGAAATTATGTTATGCCAGTGATTGCACACTGTTTATGTTTCCTTTGAGTTTTTTGTTTGAACCTCAGACAAAGCCCAGCACAAACAGCTGGTCTTAAATTGTGACAGAACTTTTGTTTCTTTTAGAACAATTAATAATATCGAATAGATTCTCAATAGTACATACATGTATTTTAAATAATTTTAGTGTGAGGTTGTATTAGTAGCTTGAAGATATATAAAGAAAACTAAACGATATTACATACTATCAAGAAGTTTGCTTTGTTTGATTGGTTCTGAGTTGTTTAATTTGTACATGGTGTAAAATTTAAATATTGTTTTTCTTTTAATAAAAGTCCAACTAAAAAGCTTGTGTAACACCGTTATGAAAGAGGGGGGAGGAACTTTAATACGAATTCCTTATAAAATATTTTACCTTATATACACACTAATGTTGTAAAGGAAAAAAACTTATACTAATTACGACAGTAATGCTATAAGTGTTGGGTTCTATTGTTTGAAATGGAGAAACTCCACATAAATACCGTAACCCATTTCAGTCGGAGAAATTACTCAGATGATCACATTTTCATGTTAGTGACTGTAATCCGTTACCCAATAAATTGCTTTGGACACAGAAAATCGAATTCGACATGTTTTCAATTACTACTAGTATTTCTTAATCTTGAAGGCGTACGTTTTCCTTTTAATAATCTTGACTTGATCCATGTCAGGATAGCAGAAGGCCAACATGTTTTCATGAACAAAGTCATAAAAAGTTTATCCAAGTGTTAAGCAACAGTACAGTAGTAGATAATTAGGTTCATAGGAAGAATATTAATTTCTACATGTGACAGCCTGACATAAAATATGTAATACATAGCCAGGTTAAGGCCTAAGGGTAAAGAAAAGGAATGGAGGTGTTTTGCCAGATAGATATCTAGTTTGCACCACTACTAATTAGTTATTGATCAAGTAGCATAATATAGAACTTTTTAATTAGTGTAGTTTCTTGCAAAACAAGACAAGATAATTAATAGTCACAATTTGTATTTACTAAATTACTTATTAAATAGAAGTCAAAAGCAATATGATTTGGATCACAAAATCTGATTGGTCTTTGAAAAGATGCTGAATTTTGGGATTGTTCTATTGTCATTCTCTAGCTGCATTAGGTGTCAATCCTAAATTTCAGCACAAATATCTAAATCTGATATCCTCTTGCTCTTTTCCGATTTGCTATACATTATTTTTCTGTTTGGGTGTTAGTCGCATAATATACTTTTGAAGCTAAAATAATTCCCGTTGGACGTTGTTATGGTAAAAAGTTCCAAACAATTTTTTTTCAACATTGAAATTTCACTAATTTAACTGATTCAAATTCGTGTTAAACTACGTAATAGTAATTGAATATATTGAATGGTTGTCAAAGGGATTCGCCTATCCCTTTGACATTGATCACGCCCAACTATGCCTTATAAAAAGAACTAAGCGGTCATTGTAAATATAATCCGGTTTACAAGTACGGAGTTGAATCCCACAGAGAACTAAGGCTTAGCTACAGTTGTTCAATATTGTAAAGAAATACAAGTTCAAATAATTTTCTAGTTATAAATATTTGATTTTTATTTCTACTAATTAACTAGCAAATATTATAAAGCAGTAAAATTATCAACTAATATGGATGAAATTATAGACAAGACTAAGGAAATCTAGAGTTATGATTTTCCCAAGAAAATTGCTACACTACTTAACAAAAGAAAATCTTTTTGTCTTTTTCCTTTCGACTTAAATCCCTCAAGAAAATTGTCTAATAGATCCATCATCGGAAAAAGTCTAATATATATATATATATATATATATATATATATTAAACTAACACAATTAAAATAGCATAGAAAGTCACCTAGATAATCTCCCCACCCCACACTTAAAATTGCGCATTGTCCCCAATGCACACCATAACTAATAAGAGGGTAAAAGAAACTCCCTGGTAGGCCAAAGGCCGAAGCACTAGCAACTCATGGGGTACTCAGACTTCTCACAGGCTTGGTCCTTCATGCGGGCACCTCACACTTAGTTCCAACCATCTGGTTTGCTGTTGCATCCTTCCAATAGTTTTGCTTTCCATGCTCCTAGAAAAGCAAAAATCGACACTACAAAAATAATAAAAAATAAAAATAAATAAAGCAGTAAAGTTGAGTTTCCTCCCAACAAGCACTTGATTTAACGTCGCGGCACCACTTTTCGCCTCCACTTTGAACTTATGAATTGGACCCCAAGTTTTGATTCTGCTCTATGATCATGCTCCTGGCCGGGAGGTGGAACGAATCTGACTGGCCCAATAAAACAATGTAGTATTCCGCGCTTCTTGGCCTTTATATGGGATGTGTATTCGCGACTTTCTGGTAAGAAGAATTTCAGAATGTAGGCACCTTGTTCCTTATTTTCTGACTCCTCAAGTGGCTCGGATGACTCTATTTCTATATCATCATCCAAACACAATGTGGAAAAATTCTTGGAGTGTGGACCAATGCGTTCAACTACATGAATATTAGGACTGTCTGTCTACATCCTCAACACTAATGACACTAGAGTCAACTAAATATATTTCATCAATGTCCTTGCTTGACTCTAGTATATCTTCTACAACATCGGCATCCTCAAATTCTAGTTTGATTGATTATTGGTGTTCTACTATGGACCCCTCTATTGGTACCTCAATTTTTACATCTAATTCACGCTCTTCTTGGATACTATTCACAATATTGGCTTGTTGAGCATTAAGATCTTCAACCAGTTGATTCACTTGAACTTTCAAGTTGTGAATAGTTTCCTCTTGCCTTTCTATCTGCAGTTGTCTTTTACTATTTTGTTCCACAAGGCACTTTAACATATCATATTGTTCCACAAGGCACTTTTGTATATTCTTGATCTCTTTCAAGTCATCATCCCTGGGTTCTTTGTTCCTGTTAACTTCACAAGAAAAAGAAGAACCATCAAAGTAAGGGGTTGGGGGAACATAAAAAATATAAGCACAACCATAAAACTGACCATTTTGACCACCACACATATCACACACATAAGATTGAGTTGGTGCGCATAACTCGCTCTCAGAAATATTTTGACAATTTTGCCCAGGGTGATTTCCTCCACTATATGCATAAGAAGGATCAAAAGTAGAATTACCAACATCAAAACTCACATAATTCCAAGATGCCATATTTTTAATATTAACAAGTAAAACAAAAATTAAAAAAAATCAAATACAAGAAAGCAAAAATAAAAGTTCAAACTTGCAACCTAGCAATATATACACCTACAGCTATAAGTGTTTCTTTATCAACCTAGCAATGTATTTCTTTTTAATATAAACACCTACAACTAAACCGTTAGTTCCCCGGCAACGGCGCCAAAATTTAATCACGCCCAACTATGCCTTATAAAAAGGACTAAGCAGTCTTTGAAAATATAATCCGGTTTATAAGTCCGGAGTCGAATCCCATAGAGAACTAAGGCTTAGCTACACCTGTTCAATATTGTAAAGAAACAGAAGTTCAAATAATTTTCTAGTTATAAAGATTTGATTTTTATTTCTACTAATTAACTAGAAAATATTATAAAGCAGTAAAATTATCAACTAACATGGATGAAATTATAGACAAGACTAAGGAAGTCTAGAGTTATGATTTCCCCAATTGTCGGAATCCTTTCCGCTACGTTTCCTATAAATTTGCCTAAGTCTTCTCTACCGATCATGAGCACTCTAAATATCGTAACTCTCTCCCGAGTAATTATCATAATTTACTAGACATATTCTCCTGAATTAAGCTAGTTGGGATTAAGTACAGCTCACTCAGATCGCACCAAGATTTCGTTATCCCTAATCCCACCTTTAAACCTCCGTATTGATCCCTCATATACGTTTAGGAGTGATGTTGTTCAACAACTACCTAAATATGCACTCTTTCCCGAGTAATACATACTAAATAGGCACAGCTAATTGAGGGCCCTTCAATCAACCATAAGAATAATATAGTTGAACAAATAGAGAAAATACTACGGCAAATCTATATTAACGTAACAAGAAAATCATCTTCCAATAGGTTTCATCAAAACCCTAGATAACAAATTAGCTATTCATAATCATAGTAACAATATCCCAAATATTTTGCATAATTAAAATATAGAGTAAAGATGAAAAGATGTAGAAATTGATGATTCTCACTCCCAAGGGGTGATTCTACCAGCTCTTCTTGCCTCTACCTGCCCAAAGTCCTCCAAGTGGTGTTTTCAGGTCTATTTATATGTGTAGAAGAAACCCTAAACGTGTGAGCCGAGTCCTAGTCAAACCCGGAACGAATTAAGTCTTCAAAACTCGGATTGGACTTGGCCTCGGGCCTGGCGTCGCCAGCCTAACGCCTGGAATTTGGTTGGCCTCGCCAGGCTAAAGCCTGGTTCAGCCTAGCCTTTGGCTGGCCTCGCCAGGCTAAAGCCTGGTTCAGCCTGGCCTTTGGCTAGCCTCACCAAGTCTCTCCTTTTCACTGTTCTCGAGCACACTTTCAACGTTTAAGTATCCATTTTGCTCTACTTTCATCTCCAATTCACCTACACATAAAATAGACTCCATTATACGCAAATAAAGTATAATTTATCATAAAATATGTAAAATGCAATGCACATAATGTACGAAACTATGGAATTATAGCCACACATCAGACATCAACAGAAGTTTCTGAAATTTATCTTATTTTATTTTACAACATATTACTTAAAAATGACAATCAATTATTGCAGTTAAAGGGACTATGGAACAATTTGTTTTTCTCTTTTTCGTTTTTATGCCTGGAGTTATTATGAAAGAAGTAATCCTAAAAGGTTTGACGAAGAAAACCTGATTGGGTTAAACTAGGAAATTGTTAAATCCAAATCCCTTACGTAACTGTTGGAGTTGTAATCCTTAATCCTTATCACTAATCTGTCTCCTAATGACAATAGATTAGTGTAGTATATATCCTGTAAATTTTAATAATTGTAAGAATTTAAAAGGAAAAATAATTCTG